ATATATAGCATGCGGCGTCACCGCTGGTAATACGCCGCGTCAACGCCGCTTCTACCCCTGGCGGCTGCCGGGTATCGAACTAGAAATAATTAGCAAATTTCATAACGGCACTAGTGATGTCAGCAAATAGAGAGAAAGGGCGCCAAACCTGAAGAAGGAGGGCGCCGCGGAAGCACCTCTTTCCCACTTCGCACGCAAGCGAAATGAGTTAGTCCTCGTTTAAGGTCCGCTGGTTGCTCGAGCGACGCAATTATTCGTTATACGTAGCTACTGTCTACAAAAAAAAAATTATTTGTCTGATATGACGCGGGCAAACTAAAGCAGACCGATTTCTCATATGACAAAACTTGAACAGAAGTGATATGTAAATATCTTTTTAATCTCGCGTCTGGCACTAATGAACACGTAGTGCAGAAGCGTCAGTCAAAAAAGCAGCTTTATTTCAGAGCTCATTTATGCACAACATAAGGAAACATTGAACCTATAATAATAATAATAATAATAATAATAATAATAATAATAATAATAATAATAATAATAATAATAATAATAATAATAATAATAATAATAATAATAATAATATTCCGGGGGTTCGACGTTTCCAAACCTCGATATGTTTATGATGGACGCCTTAGTGAAAGGCCTGGAAATTCAGACCACCTTAAGTTCATAAACACATACAGCCGCGGCCACGTCTCAGCCGGCCTTGCTCTGCGGCGCGGCACCTTGCGGCCGTAGCGGGTTGTGACGTGTACTGAGAAGGATGATGCGCGGCCTTACAAACATGCAGACCTTCAGCCTGCTCTGGACGGGTGAAAACGTTAGAAGGTATGCTTGTTTAACCGAAGACCCGCGCTCGGCCAGGGTGTTTTCGTCATATGGATTTCATAAAACGAAGCGTGTTTCGACTGATAGCACACGCTTGCTGAAACGACATCGGAAACGATGCACTCTTTGTGGCCGCTTTGATTTTGGGATCGTCTACAATTTTTTTACTCAGCCATTGGCATTATCATATCTTCATATATTTGCATGGCTAAAAATAAAACAGCCACATGACATCCATAGATGATGCAGTCATGTTTTAAGTCGAAACACGCTTCGTGTTTTGAAATAGATGTGACAAAAGCACTTCGAGAGAGCGTGAATCTTCTGGGAAACTAACACGCTTTCCAACATTGTCACTCGTGCAGAGCAGGCGTGCATGTTTGTAAGGCCGCGCAATCTCTTGTGCATGCGACGTCACAACTTACAACGGCCGCAAGGTGTCGCACTACAGAGCAAGGCCGGCCGCTCGCGCGCTATACACAGACGTAGCCGTGCTTCTACTTACAGCTTAGTGTACTAGCCTCAAGTACTTGCGCCTCAAACAAAAATGCGTCCCCCATGGCCGGAAATCAATCCCGCTACTTTCAGGCCGGTGGTCGAGTGTATCATAACTGCGAGACTACTGTGGTGGGTAGCCCATACAATCCGAACAAAACCGAAAATTATTAGCAATCACGAGCAGGCCCGCCAGTACTTGACTCGACCCCATCTGTCATGACGGCGCACATGTTTTACTTACACAACTTGAGTACCAAATAAATTTCCGGGGAAGGTGGAGGCGTAAAGGGACGAGAACTTGTTGAACAGAGAATGCCGCTAGAGACAATGCTTTGGAACTTCATTTTTCATCACAGCAGCAGCATTGCCTCGACGAAGAAGAGAGCACTTGTCCAAGCGCTGGATTCAGCGACATACCCTGTTAAACGATTTTTCAAGTCAACGATATGTCCATCACTTATATTTCAGTGACATTATTAGAAATGAAGAGCCACAAAGTTTTAAACTGAGAATACGCATTTCCATGAACTGCAAGGAGTCCGTAATTGCTTCCCATCATCTGAACTACATACCAAAAGTAAAATACGAACAAACTACAGAGCCAAAACAACAAGTATTCAGCCTTTTCCCTACACGTATTTTGCAGGGAACAAGGAGGTTGTCGTCCTTACGATTAAGTCTAGCGTCACATAATATGTCAGTCCAGTTCGGCTTGCTGAGAACTTGGTTTACCCACGCACTTATGATAAAATTAATAACCCTTCGAATAATAGATCCAAATACTTGTGCTCACCTGTTGTCACTAAAAACCTGAAAAGCCTCTGCGGAACTTGCAATCTGTGGCTTAACACTTCGAAGGGCCGAGGAAAACGTGTGATGTCCCGATTTTGCCACCGTCGACTAATGCTTAGTTGGCTTGCTCGACGTGGCTCACTGCGGCTTCCCTTCGTTGCACGCCCCATCAAATGTCTTATCTTTGCCGTATTCATACGTGGAATGCTAACCGAGCGAGATAACCGAGTGCGATTCAACTTGGGACATCGCTGAACGAGTTGCAGGGGTGAGTGAAGGCAAGCGCTACGAACGAAGCTTAACTGCCCCACCGCGGTGGCATAGTGGCTAAGGTACTCTGCTGCGTACCTGCAGGTCGCGGGATCAAATCCCGGCTGCGGTGGCTGAATATTCGATGGAGGCGAAGATGATGTAGGCCCGTGTACTCAAAGTTTCCGGAGCCCTCCACTACGGCGTCTCTCATAATCATGCGGTGGTTTTGGCGCGTTAAACCACACAGATCAAAACGTAACCAAACTATTTTCGGGAAAGTACCGCAATTTTTTTAACCGAGCCGCTGCACCGCGCACCCTTCTCTGTCGCCTCATGGGCCGCCACGAACATCGCGCGTGTTAACAGCGTGGCATAGCATTCTTGATTTCAAAGTTGCGCGAGCCTGGTTATAGGGCCGGCGCCTGCACGGTGGCCGTTCGGGAGAGGATATAGATAAGGTTTGTACACTTGGGAGAGGAGGTTGAACAATTTGGAGAACATATGGAGAAGAGCTCAACCAGTTCCCGCAGATCGCTCGATTTTACGCTCACAAAACAAGAAATAAAAAAAGCCAATAAAACAAAACAGGAGTTCTTTACAGCTGTATAAAATTTATTTTTCTTAGTAAAAAAATTGCCCGCAGCTTCCCTCGGGGGAACACTGAGGAGGATGCGGAGCATATAATTGGTTAACGGGTGTTCAAGTGAGACTTACTTGGGTCGATGGCTAAATTGGTTAACGTGGTTGTGAAATGGGGTGTTAAATTGCGACTTACTTGGGTCGATGGCTAAATTGGTTAACGTGGTTGTAGGAGGGGGTGTTAAATGAGTGAACACGTACACACGTATGCGAAAGGGCGGCGCTGGTCGAAGGGACGTCGATCATTGTGTTTGTGGATTCGTTGGAATTCATTTCACCGCGACCTTGGACGTCGACGCGCCGTACAAACCAACCGACGAGCGGCAACTGAGCGAGCGAGCGCCGACCTTGAGTATATATACAGCGCCACGGCGCATGCACTGTCAGCTGTTGAATGTTCTCGAAGCGCGACGCCACATGCGCGTCCACTGGAGAATCAGGAGAATTGTAGATGTCGAACGCGGTGTGTAGAGGAGGAAGGGTGCACAGATGGTGGAGGAGTGAAGCGCGCGCGGTGTGTAGAGGAGGAAGGGATGCACAGATGGTGGAAGAGTGGGCGACGGCGCGACGGCGCATGCGCGCGCGTCAGCTGTCGAATGTTCGAGAAGCGGTGCGGACGGCGCACTACAAGGCGCGAGTATAAGATGCTTCGCATCTAAAATAGTGAAAGACAGTAAATGCAAACACCAACTACACTTCGGTCAAATGGCTTCCCGGCAATCATTACGAGCGCACATGTTCCTTGAAACCGAAGCTGGCGCTGTTTCCGGGGCCTGGCTAAACTTACATGTTGTCTTTATTCCAAAACCCTACAGCACATTATATAGCTCGCTTACAGCACTCGTGACGCGGCACACATGACCACAAAACAGCTAAATGCGTGGTGTCGCATTAGTGTCCATGAAACGCGGTGTCTAGCATCAGCACTTTTCTGAAAACGTGTGGACCAACAAACAAAATGGAGCTCTTTTCATGCTACAGATGGCGTACTCCTACGCAACTTGAGACATTTTGCAATAGCGTTCGCTTCAATAATTTACCGTGTCAATTGATTGTGACTGCGGCCCGAAATGACACAACGACCAAACACTGGAGTGCGTCCACACATCTTGAAGTGCATGCATAACCAGAAAATCGCCAGAATAAACATCGTTTTTCGCATTGTCACAATGCTTGTGTAATGATTGATTAATTTGTGTGGTTTAACGTCCCAGAACCACCATATGACTATAAGAGACGCTGTAGAGTAAGGTTTCAGAAATTTCGACCACTTGGGGTTCTTTAACGTGCACCCAAATCTGAGCACACGGGCCTTCAACATTTCCACTTCCATGGGAAATACAGCCGCCGCAGCCGGGATTCGAACCTGCGACCTGACAATGCTCATGTAGGCGATCACTGAGAGACCTACCAGTCTCTCCTATTTACACCGCGACGCACCACAGAGGGAACACGTATCGGGAATATACAACATACCTGGTCACATGCCTATTACCACAGGCTGTTTGCAACTCCTTCTTAAGATTAGTGTGCTTGCATAGACGACTTATATAGTTTCTCTTGAGCAGAGAACACTACGCTGCAAGTAGGCTATAGACGCTTACTAATGCTGGCAAGGGTTTGATAGGCCAAAATGTTCTGATGTTAAGCTATTTATTTATTTATTTATTTATTTATTTATTTATTTATTTATACGCCGCGTTCTGTCGGGGTATCGTTGTAGGAGACTCACTACAGAACGAAATATGATGATGATCATCATCATGTAGATTTCTGGCGGATCTAGCCTCGCGAGATTTGCAGGCAGTTGCCCTATCTAGTCGCTTCCTTTTACTTTAGATCGTACGATTATGTTCTCTTTTAGTGAATTGCGAGCAGGCTACAAACAACAGCGGGATCATACCACAGCGTTTGCTGAACAAAGCCAACAACACTTCATCTTTTCCTCGCTCTGCTGACGCAACCATACTTTCGCGTGTATTTTTGCGCAGAGGAAGCTGTGCCTCTGACGGAAGGCGAAGTCGAAGCCAAGAAGAAGGCGGACAGCGTCGAGGCGTTGACCACCATCAAGTGCCTATCGCGGAGGCCTGGAGCCACTCTCGAGAAAGAGCAGGTAATTATACCGAGTTTAGTATTGTGCTTGAATAACTATGTTTAGATGATGATCATCGCTATCGTCGTTGTCGGCCTTTTTTTGTTCAAGCGCTGGACTAAGACCCTCCCAATGATCTTAAATATCGGAGCATCTGCATTTTACACGTTTGAAAGTAATATTGTGAACAAAATTATGGAAGAAGCCACGATATTACTCCTTCTAACGGGTTTACCAGAGGTTATAAACGGAGCTACACGCACAGTTGAATGACTCTGCCGTTAGCGGTTGTTAACTCGATCTCCGTGTCCTATATGTAACATTGAAAGGTTAGCTCATGTAGCAATCAAGCTGTTCTACAGCGCCTGCTATAAAGCTGATCGGTTATATATGTGCAGCGTGCGGTTCCTCGCGACATACTGCCCCTTGTTAAGCTATGTGATAGGGCGCTCTGGTCAAAAATGAGCTAGAGAAAAGACAGTAAGTTATTGACTCGGACAACTTTTTATTTTAATATCCTGCAAACTGTTGGCTTGCCTCTATGCAGTGCCAGAGAAAGAAGAGAGGCCTTGTCTCACAGTATTGTCGTGGGCTTGCTCGATCAACCAAGTTTTGTCCTGAAATAGGAAGAAAAACTGGACTAGTTGTAATGCTTGCATAGTTGGTGCAGCGCTAAGACACAAAGACATATATGACAGCACTCGTCCTGTGAACTCTGTTGTACGTCTCAATGTTTTAGCGCCCTTTTAACTACGTTGGTACTGAAGATTCTAGCTAGTCAGTAGGGCTATTCAGCGCACCCCAAGTTCATTCTGGGAGGACTGAAACTCTCTTTTCAACTATTTCTCAGTCCCAGAGTATATGTTGTAGCGTGGGCGCGAAAACTGACAAGTCTCACAATTTCTAAAAACTACACAAAACAAAGTGACTCACAGACGAACGCACTCAGCCCCCCCCCCCCCCCAAATCATCTAAGTACCTTGAATTCACTTTAACGTTATTGTAACTTTCTGAACACACAGTAAAGTTACTAAAATTATAATCATTCATATTAGTAACGCGAACAACGCTACTTCAAACCCCGTAACCTAATGTACACCGATTGTGCAAATTGAGCTGTTTTCGCCTACCACTGCTCAGATAGGCGACGGTCAGAGCGGTGTCAAGGCGCGGAACAAGGCCCGTGTAGAAGACGACGCTGCCGAAGGCAACCAACAGGGCAACACCAACAACGTCGTCGAGGAAGCAGTTTGGAGGGAGTGCGACTTGCAGCTGAGCGAAAGCTGCATCCAATCTGCTATGGAACCCTGCCAATCCTTACAGTCCTGCGCAGACTACTCAACTTCTGTCCCCGCCCAACAAACGCCTGAAGGTTAGTGATTTAGCACAACCCTTACAGGTACGATCAAAGACGAACAAAACTGCAGGCATGTGGGCAAATTGGTTAAGCTTCTTGGACACCTTCAACTCTATCGTCAATGCAAGCTTTGTGTTTCTGTGATTTTTTTTGCAGCAGAATTGTTCTGCTCAAGGTTTGCAATGTATCGTAGTTTGAAAATTATCATCATGAACCAGCACGCACTCCTTTCATAGTCTCCTTTCTCTTCGCCTTCACTCCCAGAAGACGTGCGCCGACTCGTCCGGCGTAGGACGTGATAGCTCCAATGGGCAAAAGAATGAGTAGAGAGATAGAGAAATATCATAAGAGAGTGAAAAAGAGAGAAGACGAAAGAGAGAAGTTCTTAACAAAAAAATTTCTTGGTGAGGCGAGATTCGCACGCGTGTACCCACGATCCAAAAGCGAGCATAGTAACTAACCAGGCTGTCCAGGCATGCTAGCAGAGCAGCTTTGTATGGTGTAGTACAGCAGGAGGAGGAGGGGGTAGGCGAAGAAAAGCGAGGGGGCAGAGGAGGTAAGTGACGCTGTAGAATAGAGAAAAAGGAAGGGGAGAACGGAAAACTAGAAAGAAAAAAAGATAAAGATAGGTGGAATAAGAAAAAAATGAGAGAGAGGGACATGGAAGGAAACAGACACAAAAATAATGAAAAAGATAGCGAGAACAGCAATGTATAGTATAGCGTAGAGTAGCAAGGAAAGGGATAGAGACAGGTGAGAGGGTAGAAGACGAGTCAATCCAGGCACCAGCTAGGTGTCCAGCAGCTCTGCTGTGACCCGGCTTTGCACGAATTTGAGCAAGCTGCACTGATTTTTCCTTGTCTTGCTTGCGCTGTTACATAAGAAAAGAAAACAGCCAATGTCCAATGAATAGGTAGTAATGTTAATGAATACTAATAAATGTGGGCCTACTTCCATGAATTGACTGGAAAGGGTAAAAATAAGCGAAGTGTTCAACGACCACAATTCTATTCTACCTTGCCGCCCGTGCGCATCGTTCTAGTAAGAAAAGCTATGTATAATATATCGCGGCATAATATACTACAAGCGTGTAAATATATATAATACTCGGGGTAACACAGTCTACTAAGACCATCTAGAGGTACGCACGCTTACATATAAAGTGAACTAAATAATTACAATATGCACTGAGGCCCTATTTCTCAAAAACATAACGATGGCATTAACTGCATAAACCCTAACTGTTGCATTCATTCGCCGTATATTGGTGTGCGTGTAGTCTGTTCACATGAAAGAAATATATTTTACTATGTAACCACGCTGAACTTCATTAAAAATTGACATTGTAGACATGGTATATGGTCAACAGATTCGGCAGATCCCACATACCTGTGAGATCGACGTTATGCGAAGCATGCGGAGGGATGGTGACCGTGTTGAAATTTTGTTATTGAGCGACACGTAAGGAAATGACGATAAATATGTACAATTTTTCTCACTAACAGAGATACGTTGAAAAGTCGCATACGTTTTATACAACCAGTTCTTCGCAGTTGCGCAACAATGGCAACAGGAACATCAGTATAAGTAACACGAGCTGCGATATGCTGATGTAACGCTTGTTCTCGCGAACGGCGTAGCCCTGGACACTGCTACATAAATCAACTTCAGTGAATGACACCTAACTACAATTGACGTTAAATCGACCAGACAGTTGTACCATTGGAGTATACGTAATGTTGATAAAATTACATAGCCAGCATTGCAGCCACAAATGACGCTTAACCATCATTACACCTCAATAGTGCATTTTTCCAAAGCAGCACTGACACCAATAGCAAGGCTTTGTGGTAGAGTACTTGATCGCCACGCAGAATGCCTTGGTTTGATTTCAGCTAATGCCATGATATATGTACTTTGCATTTGTTCAGTCAACCCTGCCAACTCCAGCTTTTTTTTTTTTTTAACGCTATCGCGTTAACATTACCAATGTCTGTTCTTGGAGTTCCCGGGTAGGTGTTAAATGTCGATTACCTGTGGCACATACCCGCCCGCAGTTATGTGCCACAGGTCTGGCGGACAGGTTCTGAGGACGTACGTGACGGTATTGTCACATTCTTCGTGTAATGACCAGCGCGTTATATTCGTCAAGCCGTTTTACCCTTTTACAGCAGTTAATGTTCACCCCAAGTTACGCGGCTGATCATGAGAGCATCCAGACGGGGGCGGCTATATAGATACAAATGTAGATACACACCAAAAGTGCTTTCAGTGCACAAAGAAAAGTCTTGCATTTAAAATACTGTTGTATAGTTAGGAGAGCTAGTTTCTTTCATTGTCTAACTCTAATGAGCTTGAAACTGCACAAAAAAATAAAAAATGTGGCTTCATTTACTGACGACGAGATGGAACTATACCTTTTGCAAGAGAAACCACTATAAACCTGCTTGCACAGCTAGCCTATAGAAGAAAGAGAAGCAGGGATAGTTTTAATTCTATTCTGCAAGCTCTGCACTGCACAGCCGTCGACTGGTGCCGGATGCATGGTTGGCCCCTTTCGAGCTTTCTGCCAAATTGACTTGTAGACGAGCACGGGCGCTCAAAAAAAAAATCATTCTGGCTCACTGGCATGTACGTGCCTAACTCCACTGTCTTTCTTTTTTTCGCTTATTGTTCTGTTTCTGACAATAAATGTATACGATTTCGAATTGAACCATTCAGGCAAGAACTCGTGAGCTATGAACTGGTTCATTACTTTTCTAAGTTTTTCATTTTTTTCGATCTCATATTCGGTTTCACATTTTATAACTGTCCAGGTTGCGTATGGTGTGTTACATCGTGCCTGTGTTTTTTTGTTTGTCTTTCGTGGAGCCGACAGTCACTCATATCTATTTTTTGAACGCACTTATGTGAGGCAATGATTCCTCGGGTATTCATTCGTGCAAGCTTTTCTCTCTCTATTTTTATGTATATATTCATTTTATTTCATGGGGTCGGAGTGGGTGGGAACCTGATTTTATGAGGACACGCATACCGGTCAATGAGGCTTTACGGTCGTGTAGACGGCTATCCGAATATTCCTGAACAATGTGTTTCGATTGCCTTTGTGCAAGTACTACTTTTCCCTGGTAACTTGTTCCGAGAATGTATCTTCTCCCGCGAGCTTCGAGCCAGCAGCCCAGTGAACCCCAATGAAAACGTCCCTCTCGTCTATAATTGATGAGGCCAAGTAAAATCGTCGCTGGGGCGTACTCTTTTCTATGTTTAAATGTAAAATAGTTCTTTTTGTGATATACCGTCTCGGACTGATGCGAAATTGCGACGCTTGGATGACTTTTTTCTTCTTTCCTAGACTCGGAAAAATCACTGTTCGAAACTTTGTCGTAGCGACGCTTTCCTTCCCGAATCTCTGAAATTGCATTTGACGCTACGTTAAGCTACCACGGATCGCCGCTACTCTACATTTTAGCTCTATCAAACGTTACTAGAATAAGTTGACTTTATCCGCGAGCGAGCTGTTTATTCCAACCACAGCGCTTGCTATCGAGTTCGCTTCCCATGTCGTCCTGTACAAATGAATTCACTGTCCTCGGCAGAAATGGCCCATATTCATTTTCTATAGAATCTCATGATTCATATCTCCCTCACTGCGCTATTTGGTGTCTAACTTCAAGACAGATGCTCCCCAAAAAGAACACTTTTTAGGGGCGAAGCCCTTTAACGGCACCTGTTCGCCCCTCGTCGTAGTACGTAACATGTCTTACGCTTTGACCTGCAAGGTTGTGCCGGTGGGAGATTTCTCCTGTGCGTTGTTGAACAATAAGAAATTTGCAGCGTGAGCGGTACTTAAAAGCCGAATTCTCCTGTCTCTCATTCTCCATTAGCAGCCATTGGCATGTACATTGAGCACTATCTGGCAAGAAAGGGTTGCTATGTTATACTCACTGGGCGTAACCTCCTTGATTTTAGAAAGGTTATACCTGTGTCACACGGGCGCGCCAAAAGTCTTTTAAGTAAGCGGTCTTTTACGAAGTTGAAAGACTTTTACCAAAGAGGTGTTTGCGGCGCAGACACACGGCAGCAACGATCTCCTTTTAGTGTTTTTGTTCGAAGACGCTAGTGAAAGCGTGGCGCTAGCAGTTAAAAGAGAAGCAATGAAAATTAAACGATGTATCACAATGTACAAATTAAAGACTTGTTGCACTGCTCGTTTCTTCAAATAAATTTAAGAATAAGAGATGAAGAAACACCAACGTGAATGTTTTTTGCACTAGATAAGGAAGCATTCCCATAACTAGCAACGTGCACAAGTCCGTCTGGCACCACTGTGCTTTTATTTACCGTATTTGTTTTTCGCTGCTCTCGACTGCTCTCGACACGTTATGGGCGACCGTACGGGAGAAAAAGCGAGGATCGCAAGCCTCACGGCTTGCCTTCTCGCTCTTGAGGTGTTTCGCATGAGCTCCGGCCCGGTGACCGACTATCGGCGGACGCGCTTTTTTCTGGACTTGCTGTCAGTGGGCTCGTCTGCAGGAGGTTACCCTGTACCCACGGACACCACTCGTTTAGGCAAGTTTGTCCCCGTTTTTGGAGTTTCCGAGATTTTCCTATCAACCCCGCGGTGGCAAGGCTATGCCTATCTCCTAGGCCAAGCCTGGCCTGGGCCGCGTCGCCCGGCGTCTGACTTGCGCCCGGTGACCGTGGGTCTTGTTGGGCTGAAAATGGAGTACTACGTCGAAGGGGAGACTATAACACCCGAAGATTTTGAAGCGGGAGAGTGGGCTCCAGTGCTGAAGGCACAGGACCGATTTAAGAAGAGTCAGCATGGCGACAACGCCAAGAGTAAGCCTTGCGAGACGCAGGCCGGCAGCGACGGGCGCAAGACGCACGGAGCGCAGCAAGTCAAGCGGGGGAAAGCGCCGGTATGGAAGAAACGCGGACCGTTTCTCAAGTTGCCAGCCACGGATTTCAAGATTGTGTACAGGCCCCAGAATTGGGACTTGAGTGTTGTGACA